CTAAAGCACAAATCTTGTCATGTCACTCCCTGCTTAAAATAACCAGTCAATTGACTGATCCATCAATCAATGCTTCAAGGGCTCCTCTTTGCCCTCAGGAAGACATCCAAAGCCTTCAGCTGGAACTCAAGGCTTGGTCCCCACAGGTATCTCCAGCTTTGGCTCTCCTCTCTCTCCTGATGGCCCTGCACATGTAGTACATCCCAACCACACCACTCTTGTACCATATCTCAGACACCCTTTGCTCTCTCTGTTTTTTTTTTTATAAAAATGTGATTTTTATTTATTTATGTTGTGCCAGGTCTTCATTGCTACATGGGCTTTTCTCTAGTTGCTGGAGCAGGGGCTACTCTTCGTTTCAGTCCGTGGGCTTCTCTTGTTGCAGAGTACAGGCGCTAGGTGCACGGGCTTCAGTAGTTGCGGCACATGGACTCAGTTGTTGTGGCTCACCTACCCTAGCACACAAGGTCAGTCGGTGTGGTGCATGGGCTTAGTTGCTCTGAGGCATGTGGGATCTTCCCAGGCCAGGGATGGAACCTGTGTCATCTGTATTGGCAGTTGGATTTTTTACCCCTGAGCCACCAGGGAAGCCCACACCTTGCTCTCTTATTTGTTCCTATCTTTGCTCTTCCCACAGTTTCTCATGCCCATTCACATATTCTCTACCTGGGGATTTCCTGCCTAATCTTCAAGGCCAGCTCTAACTTAACCTTTTCTGGGAAGCCTTCCATGGTGGCTCCAGGGAGAATCCATAGCATCCCCTTCTCCCCTCTCCGAAATGACTACTCATGCTTTTGTTACTATTTGTCAGCTTATCTGCTTATACTGGGAGTTTCCCATCCTGGCCCCAAGGCTGCATCCCCAGCAGGGCCAGGACAGGGGTGTAGAGCAGCCATATAAAATGTTGGTTGGGTGGGTGGTTGAATAAATGAATGAATGAATGGTCAATGGATCCATATTTGAACCATCACTTCTTGGCCAGCGCCAGAACTGTTTCCAGCATTAGCCCATTTTATAGCAAAAGGGAAACAGAAGGAAGGGAATGCTGGAACTGCTCAAAGGGAGAAAGGAAATCAATAAAAATGTAAATCTGGTTGAGAAAAGCTGTCCCAGGCTGGCTGTGGGGAGAGATAAGACTGGGCTGGCTGAGCCCTGGCTGACAGTGGAAGAGAGATTAGGGGACAGGCAAAGCGGCAGCCGGGGCAGGGCAGAGGGAACGTGTCTCCCTCAGTGTGCCTCCTCCCTCTGTCTTCACTGTCCACTCCCACTGCCATGTGCTCCCTAAATTCCTTCAGGGACAGGAGAAGGGGAGGGAAACTTACAAATATGGATCATCAGGTGTACTGTCCGTGAATGGGTATATTACCATTATTTTGACTTCATACTTTTTTAAGGTACAAGAAGTAGGAAGAATCAACCTCACTTTACAGGTGAAGAGACTGAGAGGCAGAGAAGTTAAATCTTGCTCAGGGTCACACCAGGAGTCAGTGGCAGAGTCCAGATTTGAACTGACTCTAAAATTCTGTTCTTTTTTCTCCACTCCACTGGAGGTCTACAGCCAGGCTTTAGATGATCCCCAACCTCTGAAATCAGATGCACAATTGTGTATAAGCCTGTGTGCATCTTTAATGTGGCATCTATATTTTTTATCTGATTCCCTAAGGTGGTAGTCACCCACTCCCATTGTTTATAAGATGCTGCGTCCCTGGAGATGGTGGCCTTTGAGTTGGAAGTGTGGGCAGGACTTCAGGAGGCAAGATTGAGAGACTAATAGTGGAGTGGGATGTGAACAATGCCAACTGGGCAGAGGGAAGAGCACATGTGGGGGTTCTGGGGGGGAAAGAATTCAACACATCCAAGGAATGACAGGAGTGCTGTAGGTTCTTGCTCCTTGGTTATTTGTGCTCCAATCATGGCTTCTGAGGGCGATCTGCCTGCCCTGCAGTTTCTCAGGATGGATCTATGGTCCAAAGGAACTCCAGGCCAGGAATCAGTATGTCCAATCGGGTTCCAGTGCTGTTCTCAGCTGGTTTTACCACCATAGAATCTAGCAGGAGACGATACACCTTCTCCTCCAACTCCCAGGGACAGGGTGAGAAGGTCGCTAACAGGTGCAACTGCTCATGGCTTTTCATTGGCCAGAAGCCTTGTCAGGGAAGAGGGCTGCTCCCTGTATCTGGGAAGTCTGCTGGGCCCTAGCTGCTCCACCCCTGGCTCTCAGCCCCACGTGTCTCTTGTGATTTACTCCTGGAGTCTCCTCATCCTGACCAGCCTGGATGATTTTAAACACAACTTCGAATCTCAGCTCAACCCAGAGGTGGACTCAGCATGAAGCTAAGGCTGCTTGAGCATCAGGGCCTCTACCCAGGCCCAGGGAGAGGCCTCTGCAATACATCCCTGTTGTCAAGTTCTCGGGAAATTTGTAAAGTTTGACACTTTCACCACAATGGGTCAAGATTGCTAGTTCTTTCCACTCCAACTTCCCTTGTATCCCAGCTTCCCTTTATGTAAGGTCGTTGGCATGGGCATTTCTGGAATATGGCTAAGGGGGAGTGGAGTTGGTGATCAATTTAACTTGGGTTGGTTGGAATATATTTATGTGGTTATCAGTTACCTCCACGAAGAGATAAATCATTGCTAGCTACCTCTGTATAGAGAATGCCTTCTAGGATTCCTCCTATCCACAGTCCAACTCATTTGGCATTGTGACATCAAAGTGTTAAATTCAGAGATCATCTGGTGACATGAATATGTTTTCTGCTGCCTCGCCCTGGAAATATATGGACAATAGAGGAGAAACAGGTTTGAAATCTACAGAACCAGAAGCTAGTCTGTAGAAAATATTTCCAATCATTAGGGGGGAAATTTTGGAAGTGTGCACAACAGACAGTAAAAAAATCTTAGGCTATTTTTCTGAATTGTGAGATACATTGTTTTGACTTCTTTTTTAATTCTAAGTAAATATTCACCTTCTTACCTAATTTTGTATTCTTTTGCTTAAAGAGAACTTCCCGAGTTGTATAAGCTCCAGTTCTCACAAAATTGAAGTCTAATCCTGGCTCCAGCATTTACTTTGTGTAATCTTTGTCAAGTTGCTTATCCTTTCTGAACCATTTCCTCTTCTGTAAACTGTGAATGACAATTTGGGCAGGTAAGGACTTGGAAAACCTTGTGACCTTATTCCACTTGAAAATGTTACTAGGGAAAGTAGCCCAGCCAAATGAAAATGAGACCAGACTATATGGGGAGGGGAAGATGTAATATACAAGAAATAATGGTAAGCAATGAATCCAGTAAAACTTAAATCTAAATAACTGGAAATAATGTGGCTGCAAACTGTAATGCAGTTTGTAAGAAAGATTTCTGTAATAGAAGAGACACTGTGCAAGAACAAATTTATTGATAAGCTATATTTATGATTCCAGATTATTTCTGCAAAACGTGGGAAACAAGAGGGAAGGAGGAGGAATACGAACATAGAAACAGCCTCATCTTGTTGGATGAGACTTTGAAATTCCTGGCATTGATAAATTACAGGCTCAGATATTTGTTAAACATTTAAAGGTATCAACCAGTAGAATAAAAATGAGAATTAGGACGTTTGTATCTCCCTCTTCTTTCGTATGGGATAGCCCAAAGCCCTGCCACTGAGAGCTGCACAGAAGGCCAGAGCTGCTGGCTAAACCCCCAGCTTCTCCCCTGGCCCCCAGCACAGGGCTGGGCCTGGGTTTGGGAAGCTCCTGCTGATGACTCCCTGTCTCCTGTCTCCCAAGGTTGCATATGGGTGGCGACAGAACAGGCTGGGAGCAGGTTATGAAATTCTCTCCCCTTCCCAGGAAGATAATCAAGCCAGATAAGACCTGGCCAGAAAACCAGACAAGGCCTGACACAGACAAGGGCCTGTTTGTTCAGACCCAAGCAGCCCACAGACCCACTTATTACATAGAATCAGGCATTATTGCTCCTGGATCACAGGGCTGGGCATCACAAAGAACAGGTTCTTATGCCAACCCAGGCATCACAGAGAACCAGATGTTATCCCAGTATGTGGGTGTCACAGAATGAGACATTGTCTACACAATCCCAGCTGACACAGGATCAGGCACTGGGGAGGAAATGGTGAAATTAAGATTCTCGTCACAGAAGTCACAGTGGTGGGCCCACGTCAAACATATGAAATCTTGGTGATACGTGAGTACCAGTGAGTCTGTGATGAGTGGGTTTGGTCTTCGAAATTAGAAAATGCCCAAGAGTGGGGCCTGGATCCCCCTTACCACCAGGCAGAGAATAGGCTTCACCCAGACTCTGACACCTTGAGGACAAGGGCTGGGATTTCCTGAGTCCAGAGAGGAGGCTCCCTGCTCAGTGAAGGCCCTTGGGGCCTTCATCAGGCTTCCTGAAGGCCCTGCTAGCCTGGATGTCCTGAGTGCCTCCCCATGCTCAGGACTCTGCCTCCAGGGGGCGCCAAATAGACACATCTCAGTAGAGGCTATACTGGCCCAACATTCAGGCTGAGTGGGGCTGGGGAGGAGACCTGAGTTGGATGTCCTGGCCACATAGATGGTCCCAGCTGGAAGAGGCCTGAAAGCTGACAAGTTCATTTCCACCTGACCGAGATGGAGGCTGAGGTTCAGATGGAGGCTGAGGCTCCAGGTGAGCAGTGGAGAGGGGTCAGGACCCGTGTGGGGGAGCCTGGCCTACAATTGTCCACTTCTCCATCCTAGGGCCCTGGGGGGAAAGATATGCGGTCCTTTCACCCAGAAAAGTCTGTTTTCAGGTCAGCCTGTGTGGCTGAGGGAGAAAGGCGGAAGACCCTCATGCTCCAGGAGGGGTCAACACAACAAACCCCCAAGGAACCCTTTGGTTCAGATGAACAAACACAAGCCCAGAGAGGGTCAGTGGCTTGCTCGAAGCCACACAGCAAGTTAGTTGAAGACTCACAATTGGAAAACAGGGTTCCCAATACCCAACTCTTGGCTAGGATGGGGCCCTGGGACAGCTCACACTCTGGATTCCTCAGGCTCCTTCTTTGCCTCTGATGCTAACAGCTGCTGCTGCAGGCCAGGGTTTGGTATGGTCGCCTTGGTCCTTTCCTCTTTGTCCTGCTGCCTTAGGATGGCCAAAATCAAGGCAAAGCAGGCCAGGGAGCCTATCTTGAAGAAGAACTGGAGGCCGATGAACCTGGGAAAGAGTGAGGAACCCTTGAACTCAGGACCTCCCCATTCAAAGCCTGGATGTGCTGGGGCTGGGAGTATAGTCAGGTGAGCAGTCATCACCCGTTATGCAGTGGAGACACTGAGGCCTTAACAGGGAGTGGCCTCCAGCCTCAGGCAGTGGATCTTGTCACCATGGCTTTGGCTGAGGAGACAGGGGAGCCCCTGAAGTTGACCCCCATAGGAGTCCTTCCTTGGAAGGGAGGAAAGGCTCTGAAAAGGGAGCCCTGGGTTGGAGGAGAAGCCTGGGCATCTCCCCTGCCCTGTCCTGACGGCCTCATGGTCTGGGCTGGCCCTGCCTCTCTCTGGGTCTTTCTAAGGGCTCAAGGGGCCTGTTAGTTGCAACTTTGGATCACCTCGCCTGCCACAAGAAAAGGAGGATTCCTGCTTCTCTGTCTAATTCACCAAGGCTCTTCTTGGAGTTTGCCTCCTCTAGGAAGCCCTCCTGGAACCATGCACTCCTCAGAGCTGAAAGTGAACAGCTCCCTGCTTCCAGATATGCTAGTAAGTCCCTCTCCTCAACAGTCCATCGATCCCAGGGCCAGCAGCCTCTCTGGTTCAGGTTCCTTTAGGCTCCCCATTATTCAGATGGGAAGACTGAGTCCCAAAAAAGGTAGGTCTCACAATGAGGGAGACAGAGCTGGGCCTGGATCCTAGGCCTTCTGTGTCCTAGAAATAGCCATCTTCCTACCCTATGCCAACTTCCTGCCTTTCTCACCACTGCTTGACTTCCCTTAGTCTCCCCTCACTCAGCCCAGCTTTGCTAGTTATCAGCTGTGTGACTTTGGACCACTTACTTAAATCTCACTTTCTTCATCCATCCAAAGAGGAGACAATATCTAGCTGGCAAGCCTAGGCATTAGCACTGGATAGAGCCTGTGTCACCTTACAGGTGGGTATTAGCAGACCTCCCTTCCCTGATGGGACCCCAAGAATATTTCTAGCAGTTTCCCTATAGCCCCCTGGCAGCTGGCCCCCAGGTCTCACCGGTTTCGAAGGAGGTCGTGGTCATAGTAGCGGCAGACAGCCTGACGCCCACAGCTCTGGGCCCAGTACACACAGGTGGTGTCGATGGCACTGCCGTGGATCACGGGGCTGGGCATCCAGGCTGAAGGAGGAGGTGCTCATGGGGCAGTGGAACCTTGGCATCCCTGTACCCCTCACCCCGCCCCGTCCCTGGCACTGAAGCGCTGGGCTCTGAGCCACTGGGAGCCTCTTGGCCCATTGGCTCCTCAGCCTTCAAACCCACCCCTCACCCTCGTGTTGGATGCTCTTTCCCTGATAGGCTGTTTAGCTGCTTGCGCACCCATATCCAGGGTACCTAGGTCAGATTTGGAGCCCTGTGGACCGGTGAAGCCTAAGGTCAGGGGCTGGTTCCCACTCATCCCTGTGCCCCCCAGGCCTGGCACACAGCAGGTATCTGGACCAGTGATCCCCAGCATGTTCTTTACCCAAAACTCTCATGAGCATGAACTGGATCCCCACAGCCAGAGTCTTGTCTTCTTTCTTCACTCCCCTAACAAGCAGGGACAGGGCGACATGAGGATTGAGAGGGCTCCAGCCTTCAAGGGGTTCTCACCATCCCCCTCTCCCCCACCGCCCAGCATCAGCCTGCCCCCAGTCCGCAGTCCTTGGGGGGTAGGGCACAGGCTCCACACTCCCTTCAACCTGTAGAGCCTGGTCCCAGCTACACCCACTGGCCATCAGGGCCCTGTGCTGACCTACCTATGTGTCACAGCACCCCTCTCTTCCCACCCCCTGGTCCCACCAAATTCTCCCCTTCCTTCTACAAAAATTGGCAAAACTTGGAGCTGGTTTAACTGGTTGGAAGTTAAACATGGTTTAACTTCCCTGATCACTATGGTACCTCTGCCTGGGTGGCCCTGGTGACCACTGACTGCTCTTAGTAATCCCAGAGTGCTTGCTATGGTTCAGTTATTCTCTAGTGTGCCCACCCCCCACCATGTCACCACCATGTAGTAGTAAGTATAGTATTATGCCCATTTTACAGATAAAGAGACTGACAGATATTTAGACATGTTGAGTGACTTGGCCAAGATCCCACAGCTGATGGGTGTCAAGAGTCAGAATTTGTGCAGCACTTTGACTGCATTAACTCCTCTGGGCTGCCTGCTGGGGCATCTGATTCCTCTACTTTTGCCCTTGCAGCCAGCCTGATTGATGGATCTACCTGCCTTCTAATATTGTAAGTCATCCCTCTTCTAATTTTCTAGAAAAGAAATAGGGAATAACATAATCCCAGCCTAATGAAAATTTGGAAATATCCTGCTGTGAGGTCCTCTTATTCCAGCCTCGACCTCAGGAGGTGCTGACTCTGGCCTCAAGTGACAATTTGTCGGTCCCAGCAGGTATCCTCAGGACAATGGCCAGGAAGATCTTGGACCAAGAGGGAGTGCACAGCACAGGCTGGGTCCACAGTGGGCACTTAATCCCCTCAACACTTGCTCCTGACTTTCTCTGAGCCTCAGTTCTCCTATCTATAAGATGGGGAGAAAACTTCATCTCAGCAGCTGCCATGAGGATGATGATACACCAGCCTGATCTGCTGCAGAGACCCGGGACACCGGCTTCTTCAAACCCGTCCCTCAGGATTCCCTGTCCTGCCTGTGGTTAGGGACCTCTTGGTATCCCCCAGTTCTGGCACACCCCTGCTTTCACCTTAGGATGAGCATGAAGGAGGGTGTGTGGGTGACACTGGCCAGCGCGGCACCCAGGCTGATCAGGATCATGAAGGGAAGCACCAGGTGGCTGCAGGCTGAGTCGCAGGATCCAGCTGGCACGGGGCCGCCCCCCGCCACGCAGCTGCAGTTGGTGTAGAAGACCTAGGGTGGGGAGGGAGGGAAGAAGAGGCTTCAGGAACCTCTAAGGACAAGCAGCTGGCCAAGGCATGAGGCTCCAGGAGGCTTGCGAGAGAGCCACGGACACCAACGACAGCGAACTGGACAGACCTGGCTGGATGCTGGGACTTCTGACCCACTGGCTGAGTCAGGATAGCTTGAGTGCCAGACAGTATCTGGACACAGGCTGTCTGCACACAGGTGGGCTGAGGCTGTGGGGAGAGGGGGCATGGAGAAGAGAAAGGGGAGAAAGAACCAGAAGAGAGTCACCCCCAACACAGCACACAGACACACACGCGCGCGTTCACTACACACTCACATGTATGTGCTCACACACTCTCACAGACATACATATAATCACATACTCACTACCTGTACACACATACCTACACACATATGGACACTCACACCCCACACACACGCTCATGCACTTACACACACTCACACACCACATACACTCACTCATTTTTTTCACCCGGCAATGTTAAGAATGTTTGAAATTCCTGATGGTCTGTGCGAAAGACTAAAGCAGCAAAGAGTATTTGGGGGGAAGGAACTGAAATTTTCCAATCCAGTGTCCACCTCTCTGCCTTCCTGAGGTCTTCCCGGGCACTGGATGCTAGAGTGGATTCTCGAGGAGAGATTCAAGGACAGGATGGAGAGAGAGGCAGACATCACAGGGGGAGTCTTGGATCAGAAGGTTAGGGAGGACCAAGGAAGCCTTCACCAAAGAGAGGAGCTGGGTTTGGCTCTTGAGGAAAGAATAGGAGTTCACCAAGAGGAAAACTGGAGTGAGTAGAGAGAGTGCCAAATATAAAATTACAGTGGCATGAAAGAAGCCAGAAAATCTTTCCTTGTGCAGGAGCAGAGCGCATGTACGTGAAGGCAGAGGGGAGGCCCTCGGGGTGGGGGGACAGTGTGTGCTGGGGCCACACTGAAGAGCCTTGGACACAAAAGGGAACATGACTACTGTTTCCAGAAGAGGGTGGGCTAGGTGCCCTGTCAGCCATCCTGCTGACAGTGATTTAAAACACTGGATAAAATATTGAAAGCAATGTTCCAAAAGCATCCATAGGTTGGAAAAAAGGAAAAAAATCCTCAGGTTCAGAACTAAGTGAGGCGAACCCAGGGAGGCGAGAAGAGTCCTGACAGGTTTTGGCCTCTAGGTGTTTGCAGAACCCTGTACGATGGAATGCAGCTTTCCGGGGTTTGGGGGCTATAGGGCCAGAGGACGAGTCCTGGCCCTCCCTCCAGTCAGGTGAGAAGCCTAATAGGAGATGCCCGGAAAACTGGGACCCCACCAAAGGCTGAAGAATGAGGAAAGGCAGACAGCTTTCTAAAGTGCAAGGAAGTGTCCTCAGGCTGGTGTGAGGTGCATTTGATTCCATCCTTCATTCCCACCCCCAGGTGGCCTGGAAAACCCCCAGTTCTTTCAGAATTGGTCTACACCACCTTGGGTGCCTGAAGGGAGCAAAGCTGAGCCAAGAAGACCTGGCTTTGCTGCTCTGCCCTGTAGATCAGAGTTTCCCAACCAGTGTGTCCCAGAGGCCCTTGGCTTCATCCAAGAGACGGGTGAGCAGGGACACCAGCGGCCCTCAGGATGACCTGGTGAGCTCTGGGTAGAGAGAACCCTCTGGGCCTTTCACCTCAGGCTGTGGCAGCTGTAGCCTCTTCCTAGTGTGGAAAGGACTGGGAAGCCCTGACGTGGATGCCCAGAGCCACAGGGAGATTTTAAGCATGGGAGAGCAGGACGTGATAGCACACAAGCTGCTCTGCTGATTCAAGAGGGTGGACCTGATCCAGGGGGCAGGTGAAGAGGCAGGAGGGAGGGAGAGTGGGAAGGAGAAAAGGGTTTTGATTCAAGAGATACTGCTTTGGCCAGAATGTTCATTCGGGTTTTTCCCAAACATACATCATATGGGAAAACCTGAACGAACCTTTTGGCCAACCCTATATTTAGGAGTTGGAATTAGGGCAAGGTAACACACACACACACACACACACACACACACAGAAACAGAGAAAGGAGAGATTAGAGACCTAGGATTCCAGCTTGGGTGACTGGCTGCTCCATCTGTTGCATGACAAGGCTATGCTGGCCACATATGGGTCCCCCCTGAGCACACACCATTTGGACCTTCACTACACTGAGCAACCCACTGGGTTGCAGATACAACAGAGGGACAGGTAAGTGGAGAAATATATGAAGGCCAGGTTACTGGAAGTGGACAATCCTGTTCTGAGAGGCAGAACGTTGACGGGAGGGATGAAAAAGCTACAGGCCTTTCTCTTGGGGTTCTCCCAGCCCTTTATTCATATTCATCTAATTCCACGGCAGGAAGTTCTTCTTATGAATGGCTTCAATCTCTCCAGTGGCTTCTGAGTCTTACTCCCTTGGGCCCCACCCCCTGAGTCCTAGATGCTACCAGCCATCCACGTCTCCGTTTTTCTTCTGGTCCTTTACTCATTCATAAATGGTTACTGAGTGGAGCTGTGATGGACACTGACTGACTCATCCATCCCTGGGCTGAGGAGCTCAAGTCAGCCTGAGGAGGCAGGCTCATCAGGAGACAACTCCAGGACTGCCCTGGCAGTCCAGAGTGATCCCTGGTCCAGGAGGATTCCACATGCCACGATGTGGCTGGGCCTGTGTGCCACAGCTACAGAAGCCCATGCACACTAGAGCCTGTGCTCTGCAACAAGAGAAGCCACTGTAATGGGAAACCTGCATGCTGCAACTAGAGAAAGCCCGTGTGCAGCACCGAGGACCCAGCACAACCAAAAATAAATAAAGCAATTAAGTTTTAAAAAAGAGAAACAATTCCAGGCCAGTGTGACAGTTCCTGAGTGTCAACCAGGACTCAGTTGCACCCTCCCCCAAATGCCATCCCTAACACCACCTCTGAGGGTGCTCTGGAGAAGAAGCTGGGCTTGGAGGGCCAGAGCCCTTGGTTCTAGTCCCAGCTCTGGCATTAAATCTTTGGGCAATGCCTTGTCCTTTCCTGGGCCTCCATTTCCCATCTGTAAAATGGGCATAACAGAAGTGTGTATCACTGCATCCTTAAAATTTCTCAGGCTGAGTGCTTTTCATGGATCATGTCATGTGGCTCTTCACTTAATAAATGTATATAGATGAATTCTGCACAGTGCCTGGTGTATAGCAGGCACTCAGTACTCTCACCCCCACTTTGCAGGAAATGGAGGCACAGGTTAAACCATTTGCCGAAGGTAACAGAGCCAGCTTGAAGCAGAACAGGAGTCTGAACCAGATAGCCTGGCCTCAGTGCTCATAGCCCCATATCTGCAGGAGTTCACAGTCACCTCGGGGACCCTGCCCCAGCCGCCAGGGCCTGGGGACCTCTAGAAGGGTCTCAGGGAGATCAAACCAGGTCAGGACAGTGAGTGCTAGGACGCTCGAGAGCCTGGATTGTGATTATTCCAAATGCAAACAGTATACACAGCTCGGGAGGCGCCTGGCTGGCTTCTGAAGTACCATCAACCAGGTGCTTCACTCCATGCCAGCCTGTGGGGCCCAAGTCCTTCCCCATAGGGGTCTTGGGCTTAGAGGCTGTTGCCCAGCAGGACACAATGGCAGGGGTTCTGCATGATATGGGTGGGAACTCTGGAGAGAGGGAGGTGTCATAACAACCAGCCTGAAACCACCCATCCCACCACACACACACACATACTATGCTCCAGCCCAGGGACCTAAGGAAGGTGAGTATGGTCCCCATCTGTCCTTCAGGGGCAATGAGGAGAGAGGAGGGGAGGAGCCAGCTGGTCCTGGTGGTCTTTCTAAGGTTCCCATAGAATGCACTGCAGTTAGTTATGCTGCCCACTCCTCCCCTTCTCCACCCCCCACCCCCACCCCTGGAGCTCCTTGAGAGCAGGGCCTCTTGGCTCTGGGTCTGTCCTCAGCCCCCAGCACAGGACCTGGCACAAAGGTGGGGCTCCACAAAGGTTTGTTGACTGACTGATTGACTAACTGAAAGGGCTCATTGCTCCAGCCTCCCCACTCACCTCCCCGCCTCCTGGCCTGCATTGTACTCACCTTCTTCACACTATGGCCTCAAAGGTGATCAAACACAGGTCTGACCTTGTCACTCCCCTGCTCAAAACCCATCCAAGTCTCCCCATTGCTCTCCAGATAAAGTCCCTACTCATGGTCCTTCCCTATTTGAGGCCCTTCCTTGTCTGGGCCTTGCTTTCCCTCCATGAAATCTTAGGCTTCTGCCCCAATTTGTATGTGCATGTGTGTGCGTATATGTGCCTGCATGTCATGTGCTGTGCCCTCCCTGCCGGGAAAGTCCTTCCCTAGTTTGCCTGCTCACCCTTGAAGATCCAGCACAAATGCCATGTCCCATGAAGCCTTCTGGGACCCTCCCAGGTGGGCTACATCTCCTTCCATCCTTGACTGTCCTTGTAGGGACCACTTCTGTCAGTCACCACCCCTAGAATTCCTGAGTTACTTCCTTCTGCACCTCCCCTGCCTGGACAGCTGGAACCAGATCTGATTCACCTCTGCACTCGGGGCCCTAGCACAAGACTGGCGATGAAGGCTTATTGAAAGAATAATATTCTGTATCTGCCAACAGAAGGAGAAGACAGGTGATAAACAGAGAGAAGAGCCGGAGAATGAGAACATTCAGAGGTGGAGGGTGTGACAGGCACACAGAGACAGGGGGAGCAGAGCCTGTGAGAGGCAGAGGGAGCAGCCGGAGGCCTGACCCACCTGGCTCTTGTCTGGAACCTCCTGCACTACCCGGCTTGTGCAGCCTGCATGGCAGGGCGTGATGTACTCCACACGAGTGCTGGAGTCACAGACAGGGTTAAAGTCGTCTGAGGGGCAGGAACAGGACTCCATGCAGCCTGGAAATAGCTCTAGGCCAGGCTGGGTGCTGGTGGAAGAGAAGGCCGGCATGGTTAGTCTGGTTCCCCCTCCCTCAGGCCAGGGCTACCTCAGCCCTGCAACCTCCCCTGAGAGCCATGGTCAGATTTCAGCTCTGCACAGAGGTTTTTACCATCAGAGCTGTTCCATGACATGCAGTGGTGAGCCCCTTGCCAAGGAAGCTGCAAGAGGCCTCAAATAGAGGAGTGGGAAACAGGGTATGGGCCAGAGGCTCTGAGACCCCTTCCAGCCCCAAGATCCTACAAGTCTTTGAGCTGCTTCTGTGAACATCTCTGTTCCTCATTGACTCTTTTTTTAGGGAACATAAGATAAATTCTTCCCAGAATTTAGTCTCAGATGAAAAGTACCTTTATCTCAATGAGCTGGATTGCTTCCTTTTCTGATAAAAGTAGAACACGTGTGGGGTCTGGTCAGGGTACCTGAGTAGCTGTGAAGTCTCCGACCTGTTCCTGCCTCTCTCTGGCCTCAGTTTCTCTGCCACCTCTGTGGATTCCCTCTCCCTATTGCCATCCTGCAGTCTCACGACCTCCCTCTCCCTCTCACTACCCTGTTCACTGCCCAGGGCGTGTTTCAGTCCCATCTGACTCCCTTCGAGGGTCTGTTCCCAAGTCTCAGGAGATCCCCTGCTCTAGTCTGCCCAGGGCCAGGCACACAGGGACAGGAGATCAGAAGGGAGGGCACTCCTTGCTATCCTCGTCTGTGAAATGGGGATAATGGTAGGACCTCTCCCGGAGATCCCATGAGGGTTCAGTGAGATGGAATATGGGAGCGTCTGAGTGCATGGAAGACCCTCAGTTCTCGGCAGCTGCAGATACCGTTAGTAATGATGGAGTATGAAAGTGAAAGTGAAAGTCACTCAGTCGTGTCCGACTCTTTGCGATCCCATGGACTATACAATCCTTGGAATTCTCCAGGCCAGAATACTGGAGTGGATAGATTTTCCCTTCTCCAGGGGATCTTCCTAACCCAGGTCTCCTGCATTGCAGGCAGATTCTTTACCAGCTGACCCACAAGGGAAGCCCATGATGAAGTACAAGAAATTCTCAATTTGTTCAGTTGGTCCCCAAAGGCTTCTTCAATGAATTAGAACCCAAAGTTCAGTGAGTAACTTGCAAGAATATAGATGAGAATCTGAGTGAGATGAAATGTCGGGTCAAGGTGAGGGACTTCAGAAGAAGAGACAAATGGGGCATGTGAGGTAGGCTGACTTTTCCCCATTTGCTTTAAAAAAAAAAACTGTGGTAAAATATTCATTTACTTTTTAATCTAAAAATGATTAAAAGGCCCTGGCTCCCTCCTCTGACCAGAGGCTTCATGAGGGCCTGGTTGAAGCCCCTCCTCCATGCCCAGAAGGAGGCTCTGCAGACCTTCGAGAAGAGAAGGGACGAGGTGGGACCTGGGACAGGGTGGGCAAGAGCTGAGCATATCTGGACTGAGCCTCGCCCACAGTTACACAGAAGAAGCCCCAGGTGTGGAAAGTTGGCACGTGGATGGAGGGAGGAGAGGCCAAGGGAGAGGAGTGAACAGAGCACGTTGTGGGATGTTAGCTGGGTGTTGTGCCAGCCTAAGCCTGGAGTGGCTTCCCAAGAAAAATGCAATCAGAGTCTGTGTCTATGGGGGTTTAGGGGGCAGAAGGGGAAGGGAGAGAGGGATCAGAGGCTTTCCTCCTAGAGGGTAGAGACAGGTGCTTCCCCTCACATCTGGGGAAAAAAAACTGGTACTTTAGGGTCACAGGACAACAAGATTTTAGCTCCCAGCCTCTATGGACCAAGAATCTCCAAGGTCTCCAGTCCAACTCCCTCCCAGGGCATATGTCCCCTGGGCTGCGTTCCTGAGAAGGGCCTTCTTACATGTACCATCCACACAAGTGGCCTTGCCCTGCCTCAGCCTCCAGCCCTTCCCAGACCTGAGCGGTCCTGCCCACAAGTTCCACCCCTACCTGGTAGTGACTGAATACCTTCACTGAGCCTTCGAGGGAGAAGGCCCACTGCTCACATCCGAACCAAGTGGGGAGCGGTGGGGAGATGTGAGGTTGGGGGTACTCCACTGCCCTGGCCACCCCCTGGCCTTTTCTGGGCCACCCCCTCCTATGCCCCTGGCACCCTCCTCCAGCTTATGCTCACCGGCTCTCAAATATACTCACCCAGGCTGGTGGCTGATGCCTGCAATCTGATGGGAAGAGCAGCCCATGAAGAAGAGGGGCGTGCTGAGGATCAGGCAGCACAGCGCCCCCAGCAGGCAAAGGCTGCCACAGTGCATGGGGCCCAGGCGGAGGCGCTTGACCAGGATGCCCCCGACCACGATGCCCACGATGGCCAGCGGGATGGTGAGGCAGCCTATGAGCAGGTTGGCGTAGGATGCTGTGATGGAGAACTGGCGTTCCAGGAACTTGGGCAGGAAGGTGGCCATGCCTGCCACCGTGGACGACATGCACACCTGGGACAGGACCACCAGCAGAAAGATGGGGTGGCGCAGGGTCCTCAGCAGCACCCTGGGGAAGACTGTTGGGGTGAGTAGGAGGAAGGTCAGGGTGGGCTGGCCATGCCACACGTTTCCATCCCATCCTGCCCTGCTCAGCTTGTTCCGTGTCTTCCATCCTGTCTCATTCCATTTAATTCTATTGCATTGAGTTTCATCCCATGACATTCCCTCCACTTACTTCTGTTTCATCTTTGAAGTTCGGTTGCATTTCATTCCATTGAGTTAGACCGCATTTTAATCAACTACATTTCTTTCCAATTCAATTCTACTCAAGATGCAATTCCATGTAGTTTGCTTCTATATTATCCTGTTTGATTCTCATTCAGCTCGTCCCATCTCATTTCCTCTGTTCTATTATCCATCTCATTTCCCCCAACTCAGTCCTTTCCAACCTGTTCTGCAATAGCTCTTTCCAAGGTAACCCAGGCCTCTGTCTTCCCTTCTGTGTCTCCAACATGGGACAGCACCCTCTGCCTTGATTTCCCCATTCCTAGTTTATGTTTCTCCATAGCAGTTTACCTAACATGCTACACATTTCACTCATTTAGCCATTTTATTGTCACCCAATCAGAATGTAACCATCATCAGAGCAGGGGTTTTTATTATATCAATTGCTGAATCTCCAGAGCCCAGGGTATAGTAGGCACTCAATAAATATTTATGGAATGAGTGAGAAAATGAATGAATGCACATACAGACTCAAGGTGATCAAAGAGCGAAATGTTGAGGTAGAAACTAAAATCTTCAGAGAAGGTGAAAACTGGGCAGGCCTGGTGCTGGGCAGCTTCCTGGAGGTAGGACAGAGGTAGGGCCCTGAAGAAGGGGAAGATTCGGAATGGCGGAGAGGAAGGGAGTCCTACAGGAGAGAAGCCAGGGCAAAAGCCCGTAGACAAGAATAGAAGGGATGGCTCTCCCTTCTCCTGCCACCTCCTAAACCAATGCCTATGTACAGGTCTCCTCGCTGCAAGTCGACACATTGAGTCAGTCCCGAGGTCTGGGCTTCAGGGCCTTCATCGGCAGGGCCACCCAAGGTGATGCCCAAGAAGGCTTTGTGTGACCTCTCTCCACTGACAACAGAAGAGAAAGACAGGTTTCTGCCCTCAAAAGGCAAGATGAAGTTAGAGACATAAGGCGTGAAGGAGACAGGAGAAAAGGCCTTTCTAAGAAGAGGCATCAGGGTATCTGGGACTTCCCTGGAGGTTCAGTGGTTAAGACACCACGTTTCCATTGCAGGGGGCATGTATTCGATCCCTGGTCAGGGAACTAAGATGCGGCATGCCGCATTGTGGCAAAAAAAAGAAAAGAAAGAAAATCCTGATTCATACCAATAGGTCATTCTATAGGATTATGTCTAAAATAATAAACAGTATTTGTCGAAAAAGAAAAAAGAAAAGAGGCTTCAGAGGAGCAAACTACTTCCCAGGCTGGGCTGGTGGGGAGAGATGGACATGGGCTCCTTGGGGCTGAGTTTGCGGGGAGTCCCTTCTGTTCCTGCAGCACAGAGCCAGGGTCCCTGTCATGGGAAGTTTCTCTTTGTCCTCAGAACAGGGCGAGAGCCAAGCCAGCTGGTCCCCTAGCACCCTGGCCTGGCCAAGAACACTTCTCCTTGGGCGCCAGAAAATAAAAACAGAGTCTAGGCAGGGTGTACGGGGGAGAGCTGGGGCTGTGGAATTCCCCCTCCTTCGTGTCCCAGGCCTCCTCCTGTCCGAGTCCTTGGCCACACACACAACGTATCCAGCCGGCACTTGGAGTGGGAAAGATGTGACACCGGGCCTTCACCCCAGCCAGCTGCTCCACTTTCCTCCCTCCTTGAACTGCCCTGGCCCGGAGTAGCCTGGGCTTGGTCCAAGTCATACAGGTGACCTCATGGTACAGGTAGGGCCAGGAGTGGGGCAGGGACTGGCCCAAGTTCATCTAGGAAGGTCTGAATCAGGCCAGGAGTTGCTGGGGGTTACCTGACTCTTGGTGTCAGGGTCATTTCCCCTTCTGTGCCCCAGCCTACATTCCTAGGACTCTGCCTGCCTGACTTCAGAGGGAGGGCTCCATCTCATGGATTGCTTCCATCTCGTTCTCCTGGGCTGATCACTGTAGTGCACTTTGTTCCTATTCCCTATCTCCCTTCATCATCTTCAATTGTCCCTAGGACAGATGGAAAATTCCTGGAGGGCAGGGCTATGCCTATAGCTTAGATAAGGGATACTTGAAGGGGAATTCCAGGGATGTCTCTAGCTCAGAGACTTCAGCTAGACGAGTGCTTCCCTTGGCTCATTACAATGTCTCCTCCCCTTAGACAAGCCAGGGCCTCTCATCACTTAGAGACTGTGTCTTCCTTATCAGACAGAACCTCCTCCAGCACAGAAACCAGGTCTCCTCCATTAGACAAGGCAAGTTCTCCCCCCATTCAGGAGCTAGGTATCCTCTATCAGACAGGGACTCATGTCTCCCCATCAAACAGTGCCTCTCCCAGCTTAGGGACAATGACTCCCCCATCAGAGAGCCTTTCCTTAGCTCAGAGACTGTCTCCTAAGAATTTAGGATTCCAGCAGCTGGAAGACTATGTTTATTCTTCTCTCTGCCTCTCCCTCTCCCAGTCCCAGGTTGTCAAGGCCAAGCCTTAAGATCAGACTGGCCTCCCTAGAGCTCAGCAGGAAGCCGAGAAGCCGGCCTTTGCCAGCCCTGTCTTGGTCTCTCCTAGGATCATGTAGGAGCTTGAAACCATCAGAGATAATCTGGCCCAGGACACCCACTCGAGGATCCAATTTCTGCGACTGGCCCCAGCTTTCTTCTGGGCTGAAGCCAAAGCAATGATTAATAAGCTCTTCCATGGAGCAGGGCACTGGGGCCTTCCAGCAGCTGGGGGTGACCTCAGGTTAGGGAGTCTAAGCCCCTGCCTCTAGATCCAGCCTCATAGGTTCCAGGCCTTTCTTTCCCTAGGAATAGAGGACAACCAGGGCCTAGGTTACTGGTACCCTAACATCAAATCCTAGGACACCAGGGGACAGGTTGCTGATATCCTAACATCAAATCTGAAGATATAAGGGGTTAGATTACTAGTACCCCAACATCAAATCTTAGGAAGCTTTCCCCAAGAAAATCTCCCCTAATTAACTTCCTAATGCAAAAGTCCTTGAAGATGGGGGTGGTTTAAGCAAACCCTGTAGTTATCACCCTCTTAAACCATAGGCAACTCAATTTACTGTCCTGAGATATGGTCAGACTAATAATAGCAGGGCAGGAATGATAATTGAAAAATTAATTGTACTTTATATAAGCATAGTTTTTTAATAGTATGTAAAGGACCCTCCATTCATCATCCCATTTGAGTCTCCTAACAATCCTTGAGAGAGGCAGAGCAAGGATTACTGACCCAGTCTTTTAGATGAGGAAACTCTGGTTAGGGGAAGAAAGTAACTTCTAAAAGACCGTACACTGGGCAGTGTCAGGGGTGGGCCTCTAAACCACCCCTTCTTCTGACTTGCCATCCTGTGTCCTACAAGATCCCGATGCACAGCAGGCACTGTGTTTGTGGGATTAGACTCTTTAGATAGGATGACGTGGTCATAGCATGGACCTGGTTACTGATCAATTTAGCTCAAAGTCTCAGGGTCAGAAGGACATGGATTTCACCCCTCACTGTACAGATGGAGAAACTGAGGCCCAGAGAGGAGGAGCAAGGACCCAAGATGAAAGTCCAGATTTCTGGACTTCAGCCCAGAGTTCCTTTCACCCATGCTACGGCCGAAGAATTTAATTTAAAAAAAAAATAAATAAATATTTACTGAGAGCCTCCTGTTTGCAGGCTCTGTGGTGGGAGGAGAAAATGGGTCACAGATGAGCCGTCACAAGCCAGACGCTCAGGAGCTCACTCTTCAGTAGAAGGGTTGGACAGCGCAGATCTGAGCTGATACAGGAGCCCAAGTGTTCAGAGAGCTGAGAGGAGGGAGAGCCAGGCTGGGGGATGGAGAGAGTGGCTTGACTTAGAGGCACAAGGAAGCTTTTAATAGATAGTGATAAAAAATGATGTTCTAGGCAAAAGGGATCCTATGAGCAAAGTCTTACAAGAAATGTATGGTACTCATGAGGGGCCTGTAGGTGTGGAAGATGAATCAAGAAAGGCAGGTGGGGGGCTGGAGTCTGTACAGTCTTACCTGCCCCTCTGGCCCCACCTCTGGCCTCAGCTCACTTACCTTTGATAAACTGGATCACAGTCAGGTCTGGGGCCATCTGAGCTAGGTTGTCTTTCTTCTCTAGGGACTCTGCAGGGCTCTGCTCAGAAGAGGAATCCTCACCCTGAGAAGACACACAGCCAAAGGCAGTCAGTTAGATGCCCAACATTCTGCTCAGAGGTGCTGTGGGCGAGGGAAGGGAGCTCTGAGGGAGGAGAAGACGAGGGGTCTGTCACTGCCAGCAAAGTACCATTTGTTCTTGGCCCCGCAGATACTTAGCAAGTGGTTTTTGAAAAGTGGATGAAATTACAATGGTTGAACTTTGTCATCACCATTATTAACATCATAATAACCAACATGCCCATGAAAATTTCCACAACCACCACCATAGTTATTCTCATCATCTTAAATATCACCCCCGTTCATATCACCAATTTCACCACCAATAAACAACCAAGATTGGCCTTACTATTGTTGTTGTCTCCGGGAAGGTCACCAACCACCTGCACAATCTCACAATCATTGTCATCATCACTATCACTTGACCCTTCACATCACCAGCAACAACATCACTATCAGAATCACTAATGTCATTATCTCATTATCGCTGTCTCTCCCATCATTGTTATCCCTAGCACTGTCTTCACCACAACCAGCAGCATCACCAGCTTCTATGCAAGGTTATGACCACACTGCTATCTTCAGTTTATATCAGTCATGGCTGTCATCACCTGGAGAGTCACCACGAGCAGGTGCCTCCAGGGCTTGTCCTGTTCCATCCTGTCTGCAGCAACAGGAAGGGATCTGGGTTGGGGGAGGCAAGAGGCAACAGCCCCCTTCTCCTCTTGGAGGAGTCAGATCACAGCCAGAGGGGATTGCTCAGCCCCTGGACCACATTGCAAGGAAGCTCACAGCTACCCTGGGGTGTGCTCTTCCATGTGGGAGAGGATGGCTTCTGTGCAACTCCTGAGAAAAAGGTCTTCAATCCCAGAAAAGAGGACATCAGGGGTGATACAATTATAGTCTTCTGATTGCACCAAGGAGGGAAGGATAAAATGATAAATAACGGTAAATGGTTATTAAGCACTTACTACCACCCCAATGCTGTTCCAATGACAAGTCCATTAACTCATTGAAACCCCACAGCAACTTTCTTAAGAACAGTATAATCCCTGTTTTTCAGGGAAATAAAACTGGGACACAGAGAGATGAAGTAACTTGCCCGGTCACACAACTAGTAAGTGGTCTGGCTAGGACCTGAATCCAGATGTCTTGACTCCAGGGCTGGTGTGCATTTGGTCAGCTCACCCTAAAGGCAGGGGGGAACCAATGCCCTGAGTGACCCATCACTGAGGGCTGCGTAGTCCTGCTCCAATACAACAAGGCTTTCATACAGGTATTATTACTGTGCACATTTTTATATGAGTAACTAAGTCTTAGAGAAGTTGCTACTGGTACAAGGTCACTCAAATATAAGTGATCTAGTGAAGTCTGATTTTATGACATTAAAAAAATTTTTTTTTTTAATTTATTTTTTTGGCTGCACTGAGTCTTCGTTGTTGTGCTCCGGCTTTCTTGAGTTGTGGCGAACAGGGGCCACTCTTCATTGCAGCACTTAGGTTTATCATTGCAGTGGCTTCTCTTGTTGTAGAGCACAGGCTCTAAGAGCATGAACTTCAGTAGTTGCAGCTCACAGCCTGAGTAGTTTTGGCACACAGGCTTATTTGCTCCACGTCACATGAAATCTTCCCAGACCTTGGATCGAACCCATGTCCCTTCACTGGTGGGTGGGGAAGTCCTGATTTTACTACGTTTTTATGTGCAGTCCGAGACAAGGATTAGAAGCAACAAGTTCCATGGAAGAAGACTGAAGGCCAGTGTGACAAGCAGTTTGGACAAGGCTGTCCTGGGAGAAAGTGAGTTCCCCATAACTAGGAGCATGCTAGCACAAGCTGACTTCCTCTGGTCTGGAGGGCTGTCCACCCTGGGGAAGGGTGGGTTGGGCTGGAGAATCCATCTGGGATCTCAGGTTCTGCCTCTTTTCTCCCCATAGAGCCTCTGTGAGACCCCTATAAGCTTCACCCTCTGGCTGGTATATGACACCATCTTTTTTGTTAAGGAGCAAATGTGGAGTTTCCCCACATTTTAGAACCTCCATGAGGGCTCCCATGCCAAGAGTGCTCTGTTCCAAGCCTCCTCCACCCCTTGCTTCCAGGTGCTGACTGGTTTAAGCCTAGCCTCGCCCCCGTAGGGAAATGTATTCCAAAATCAGTTCAAGTGTGTTTGTTCCCCTGTGAGGGTCTCCCTTCCTTCTCTCTACTTCTATCCCAGCAGGTACTGGGGTCTGGGTTCCCTGGCCTCAGGGGAGGTTTGTGGCAGGGCAAAAAGTCATGGCTGCAAGATTTTCCGCCTTCTGGCTTTTGTTTCCCAAGCCTGACTCCATCGAGAAGATTACACTGAGAGTTGTGGGGAGTGTGAGGCGAGAGGGAGGCCCCTGAGCAGTCTGTGGGTTCCCTGAGCAGCAGGAAGCCACATAGCCTCTGCAACAGTGCCCAAGGAAGCAGTTCACTTCAAAGGGGCAGGCTGCAGACTGACTGAAAAAGGCTGAGTTCCCACGCACATGGAGCTCCTCAGCCCCCACACAGGTTAAGGGGCACCACATGGGCCGTGGGGAATTGAGGCTGAGGCCTGCTGGGGGTGCGGTGGTGGTGAGGATGAGACCTCCCTGGTGCCTGGATGTCCTGTAAGATCTCAGGACATTGGCTTCACCTTGGTGGGAGAGCCCTGAGAAAGGCTGAGGCTGACTTTCTTTTCTTTTTTTTTTTTTTTTTGAGGTTGACTTTCCTACTGAGCCAGAAGGATGGGCATTCAGTGTAGAAGTTAAGTTGACTTTCAAAGGAAACCAAGAATAATCTACCTTATAGACACTTAAAGTCTGAGTCAAACCTTGTTAATTGTCTCTCTCCTGCTGAACTCTGAGCTCTGCAAGAGCAGGGACCACATTTACCTCATTCCCTGTTGAAACCCTGGTGCCTAGCACAAGACCTGGAGTGAAATGGTGGCTGTCTGAGGAACTCTTTTCCTTTTCTATGGAAAAGAGTGCAAGAGATGGCTCCAATGGGCAGTGGGTATAAGCAACACCAGGCTCTTGAAAGAAACATGAGAACATCAACAGGAGAGGCTATTGTGTTGGCAGGAAGCTTGTAGCTATCTGAGATGCTGTCTCCCAGGCTATAGTCCTCCTTTTGCTCCAAATAAAACTTAACTCACAACTCTCGTGTTGTGATTTTTTTTTTTTCCCAGTTGACAGTAACTTGCACATCACCCAACTAGCACAGGGCAGAACTAAGATTTAGCTTAAGCCTGCCTGAGTTGAAAACACACACCTGATCCACCAAGCCTGTGAATCAGAGATCTGGTGCAGGGCTGGCAGAATTAGGAAGCACCATTATGGCAGAATGTGAAGGGGCCTGAAATCTGAGTCTTATTTTTCTGGATGAGGCACTGTGGATCTGTTATTCATTTGTGTCTCAGAGCTGTGCTGTCTGATGCACCAGCCACCAGCTTGGAACTATAACTAGTCCAAACTGAGATGGGCCGGAAGTATAAAGTACACATTTGCATTTCAAAGACTCAGTGTGAAAAAAAGGAAGGGAAAATATCTCACAATTTGTTTTTTATATTTATGATATGGTAAAATGGAAATATTTAAAAGATAGACAAAGAAAAGATTTTATTAAAATTAATTTCTTTTACTTTTGAATTGTGGCAGACCATTTGGGTTTCCCTGACGGATCAGCGGTAAAGAATCTGCCTGCCAATGCAGGGTTTGATCTCTGGGTCAGGAAGATCCCCTGGAGAAGAAAATGGCAACCCACTCCTGTATTCTTGGAGCCTGGCAAGTGACAGACAGTCCATGGAGTCACAAAGAGTGGGACACGACTTAGCGACTAAATAACAACTAGACCATTTAGAATGACGTTTGTGACTCACGTGATATTTCTTTTGGACTTGCTGCCTTGAGGAGAATTAGAAACTCTCCTTACTCCGTTCTCAGTCCTAGCCTAGCTATAGGAGAGCACCTGGGAGGTCCTGGGTCCCAGAGGGAGAGGGTGCCGCCCCAGGAAGGGGAGTAAGAAGGGTGGGAATACACTGATTTCTTCCCAATCTTCCTGTTGGGGGTGGAGCAGGCCCATCCTTCAGACACGCAGCATCTTGTGAGTTCCGTGCCTGGGGTTCCTTGTCCCCAAGTAAACAGTAAAAGCCACAGTGTCATCTGCTGTGACGTGTGCAAACCCTCTGCGGTCTACACTGCACTTTCACATCCACCCTGTCATTTAATTCCCACAACAGTCTGATGGAGGGTTTATTATTGCACCTACTTCGCAGAAGGGGAAACTGAGGGCCTCCCCCAAAAGGGCGAGCGTCACCGGGGAGTAGTTGGCAGTAGTCTGTTAGCACCCCCGGCACCACCTAGCCCTCTGGGGTTTGGAGACGGGACGGGAGGGGCAGTCCTTCAGGGGCGGAGGGGCCTGGAGGGCATCCAGGGAGAGGTGAGGTCTGGGATCGGATCCACAGGAAGGGGGAGGTTATCTGAAGCAGAGGCATAGTACTATCAGAAGGGTGGTGGCGGGAAGGGAGCGGTGTGCGAGGTGGGGGGAGCCACCCTGCCTCTCAGGACCATGGTAAAAGTACCATCACAGAAAAGCACCCCATCAGCCTCTACTTGTTATAAGAAATGACCAGACACAAAAACCCGCCAGGTTTAACACTGAACAACCATTTCTCTTTTGAAATACTCACAAACCACTCTTTTTTCCCCTCCATAGGTTGCCAAATATATCTGGTAACCAGTTAGAGATTCTTCCCCGCTTCCAAAGAAACACTTTTAATAGAAAGCTTGCCAATCAGAAATTGTCTCAGTATTCTTTATACTCTTTAAAACTCACTTTTCTTTCTAACACCTTTGATCCTCTCAAGAAATGAAAGTAACAGCAGATGGGTTCACTTGTCAAGTTTATGAATAAACAGTCATTGTTAACTTTGGGGGGAAAAAAAGAACCCCTCAGGGCAAGAGTGGGGCAGTTCAGAGGGCAAGGCTGAGGGATTTGGGCTTTCTTCTGT